CCGCCCCGCCCCGCGCGCCAGAGCGAACCTGGAGCCATTTTGCAGCGCGGCACGACGCGCACCGACTCGCGGCCGCGGTGAGAGCCTGGCCTGGCCCTTTCCACAAGGCTGGTGTCCCGCTGGGGCGCGGGGCGGGGGCACAGCCACTTCGGCACCCTACCCCAGGGGCGGGCAGAGATTTCGGGCGAGGGCCCTTGCTGAGGCTTGGCCGCCCTCGGGCCGCTTGGCAGGCAGCCCCAGGCAGATAAATAGTAATTTTCTACATGTTGTATGGCCAGACAGACTGGCCTGGCCGCATCGTGCCCACCCCTGCACTGACCCCTTCCCCCCTTGTGAAAACCTCCCTGGCGCGAGTCCTCGCATGAGGCCCCTTTCGGACAACGCCAGTCCCACGGGGGGGGGGCACGCGCGTGATGCCCCCCCCCAGCACCGTGCAGCGCGGTCTGCAACGCGACACTCGTCCCCTCTGCACGAGTGAAGCGCAGCCACGCCATTGCCGGGGTTGTGCCGTACGCTGACAACATTTTGGACTGTACTGCTAGGACACGTATGCAGAGACTAATAGACAAATGTGGCACTTTGGTTTCCCCCCCCCCTTTGTTTCAAGTTAGCTGCCTTTGGCATGTTCAGCCCAACCTTTTCTTTGCTGGCACCTTCAAACACGAACGTGAATATTTCTTCCGAAGTCTGCCTGGCTCCCGACGACACCACGGCACAGATCCCACCGCTCCCGGCCAGGGAGACGCGGGTGGGAGGAGGGTGGCAGGCAGACTGGCAGCAGGTCTCGAGTTTGCTGATCTCTCCAGACTCTACCCAATATTGATAGGTGGCTGGTTTTAATATTATAATTAATAATCTCTGATTGGCTTTATTTACGTGTCTTTGTTACACTGACGCACAAGGCTCTTCGGGTAAATCTGATATCTTTTATTAGACCAGCTCAAACAGGTGGAACAGTTTTTCTTAGCAAGCGTTCGGGTATCAGGCTGAGGAAGTGTCTGCGCGTGGTGCGCGCTCTTCCTGGGTGGAGTGTTTCCGTTTTGGAACGGGACAGAACCAGATCTCTGGCGGACTCGGAAGGTGTCGCTTAGTTGGGTTTGATATCCTTGGGAAAGACGGAGGGTTTCTGAGCTTTCCTTCCCCATTGTGGAGCGCTGGTCCTGTTTTTTCTTTACCTGACTTTATGGTCTTCTCTGACCGGCTGCTTTTGTTTTTTGCAAATTACATCCATATTTGAGCAGAAATATTCCCTATTATAGCTAAATAACCTCTACTACATTAGGTTACATCAGTGGCTGCTACAACTACTTTAAGACCTCAGTCCTGCTGCGGGGCGGTGCTGGTGTTCTCGGGCAGTGGCAGGCTCTGGTGACGGTGCAGCCACTCTCTTTCTGCTCCCTGTCCTCCAGGTAGGAGCGTGTCTTAGAAGCGGGGAGACGCTGTTAGAAACCCTCAGACAGCCACACGGAGCAGCAGCAGCTGTGCTTGCTTCTCCCTCATGTCCTCAGTGTATCCCAGTGCCCTCCCAGTGCTGCAGTAAGAGCTCAAGGGGAGGCAAGAGCAGGGCGGAGGCAGGGCCCATGGGAGGCTCGCACCTCCCCACAGGCCAGGGGCACCGGGGTCCACAGCACTTTTGTTCCGAAGCCAAAAGCAGATGGGGGAGACCCAGGTGCCCCCTTCCCAGCCCAGGGGCCACTCACTGGGGGAGTTCGGGTTTGGATCCGTGCATTGTTGTTGTGCTTCTGCTGTGCCTGTGGGGAAAAACGGGACAGCCTGTGGCGCTGGACACCCAGCCCAGAGCCAGCCTGTAGCAAGGTTTGGGTTCCAGGGGTGGCCATAGCACCCCTGGTGCTCATGCCTCTGGGCCTGGCGGGCAAGGGAGCGAGGAGGGCACCCTAGAGCTTGAGCATTGGGCGAATTGAAAGGGGCCCAGTTCTTCTAGCCTCCAGCAGGTTCCTCCTGGACTCCACTGACCTCAGTTCTGCCCTTAAGCCGAATGGGTACTCAGCCTATCTGTGCCCCAGGGCGCCTGTAGCTTCTCTCCCCCACCTCCCGTGCTCGAGTGGAGATGGGAGGTATGGCCAGGGCGTGAGGTCTGCCCCTGGTCTGGAAGGGGCCCCAGCCAGGGTCTGCCTGCAGTGGGTGGGGGGCGGGAGGGGGAAACAGCCTTGCCAGGCAGACCCTGCTGGGGTCCTCTGCAGGCCAGGGATGGGGTTTAAATCCCCCTCTCCCTCACTTCCCCCTTCCACTTCAGCCTGCTGGATGGGGCCTACCCATCCCTGCCTTTCCCCTTTAGCAGAGAGGAGAAAAACCTCTGAGGGCTTCTTTTCTCTCCCCCCGGCAGACCCCAGCTGGGGTCCGGACCCAGGTCCCCCCCCCTCCCCTTCTCAGCCAGCCGGAGCAGTGATGGTGCTCTGGCAGACACTGCTCCACTGGACTCGACAGGCAGCGCAGCACAGCGCAGGGCTTCAACACAGCCTGGGATGTTGGGGGACTGTGAGGGTTGTTGGCTGTAGCTGTGTTGGTCTAAGGGCACAGGCAGACCAGGTTCTTTGGGTACATGTGATATCTCTTATTAGACCAACTAAGCCGTTGGGAAAATTATTCTTTGCGGTGACCTTGGTGTCATTAGCACCACGCTCTAACCAGCTGAGCTAACCAGACACAGTTTCGAGTTGTGCCTAGTGTTAAACCGGGACTGTGAGGTTAGCTTGATCTGGGAAGTAGAGATGGGGAAGTGCTGCGCTCCTGTGGCTTACAGTGGGCACTACAGCCACTGAGCCCGGAGGGGGCGTGCTGCCCCCTGGTGCTGCTATAGCCAGGTGAAGATGGAGAACGGCCGTGGGGGGAGAGGAGCAGCCCCTGCCACAGGCTTATCCCTGCTGAGGGGTGGCAGGTGTGTAGAGTCTGGTGCTACATCCAACCAGGTTTATCTTAAAGGGGTTTCAGCCGTTTTAAATTCAGTTTAAGTGCAGCAAACTTCTGTTGCGTTACAGGTTTATTAGACCAATTTAGTAGCAAAAAAGTCTCTCTCTTAGCAAGCTTTTGGGTCCAAACACTGTTCATCAGGCTGAGGAGAATTCAAAGATTGCAAAAAATCTTCCAGGTAATAGAATACTTCATTTTGCACAGGGGATGGAGAGGTTGAAAGCTTATTCCCCTGGGTGACTCAGCCCTTTTGTGAGAGAGTTGCTCTCTGATATATTGGTTAGGCAGGCTTCATCACTAGAGGTGTCCAATGTTAGTCAGGGAGCAGAAAAAAATCCCTGTTTCACTGAAACTTTTGGAAGTGGATGGAACCAGATCTCTGGTGGACTCAGAAAGCATCACTTAGTTGGGTTTGATATCCTTGGGAAAGACGGAGGGTTTCTGACCTTTCCTTCCCCGTTGTGGAGTGCTGGTCCTGTCTCTTTTTTACCTGACTTCATGGTCTTCTCCAGCAGGCTGCTTTTGGTTTTGCAGATTGTCTCAGCATTTGAACAGAAATATCCCTATTATAGTTAAATAACATCTGATGCATTAGGCTACATCAATCGCTGCTACTATTGCTAAAAGATAAAGCTGCAATATAGTGTTTACAGATTATTTAATGCATAGCGTTCCCTTATCTCCTTTTAGGCCTTGTGCTTTCTTTAATTGTCTTCGATGGTTTCCAAGGTTCTTTGGGTAGATGTAATAATAGTTTTTATCAAATGAACTAAATAGTTGGAAAAATTGTTCTTTGCAAGCTTTCAGGCACAAACACCCTTCTTCAGGCATAGGGAGAGTCTGCTGGTGTTTTGTGTGCTCTCCTGTGTAGAATAGACGCCGATATGCAAGTCTGTGAAAATGCAAATGCTTGGCCGTGAGCAGAGAGGATGGGAAACAATAGGTGTGAGACAGGTGGAGGGGGGGGGGGTGTTGACCTGGTAAAATATAGAGACTTAACCTGGGGTGTCAGGTGTTGGGCAGGTTATTATGTGCCATAAATCCAATATCTATGTTTAGTCCATGATTTTTTGTATCCAGTACGTTGATTAAATGAAGTTCGTAGGCTCATCTATGAAAGGTGTTTTGCAAATTCCCTTTGAGGATTAGAACTGAGAGACCGGAGAGGGAGTGATTGTCTTGCAAGAAGTGTGCACCCACAGGTCATTGGTTATTCTTGTCTTTGGTAGATTTTTGCTGAGTGTTCATTTTGGTGCGCAGTTGTTGGTTCATTTCTCCAACACATTTTCCATCAGAGCATTTGGTACATGGGATGAGATGCATCACACATCTGGAGGTGCAAGTGTGAGATCTGGGAATACTGATGGTTTTGTTGTGGGGGTGGTGGAGATGTGTTGGCAGGTTTTACATTTCTTGTCCTGGCATGGTCTGGATCCATTCGGTATGTTTTGGGCCATAAGATGTTTGCTTCCGGTGATGAGGAAGAAAGGGAGGAAAGTAGATCCGGCAAATTACAGGCCCATCAGCCTGACCTCTATCCTGGGGAAGGTCTTGGCAAAAATTATCAAAAAGAGGCCATTCTTAACGGACTGGCTGATGGCAACATCCTGAGGGACAGCCAGCACAGGTTTGTTGTGGGTAGGTCTTGTTTGACCAGTCTCATTTCCTTTTACAACCAGGTGACCTATCAGCTGGAAAAGGGAGAAGAGATTGATGTCATATATCTCGACTTTAAAAAAAGCCTTCGATCTGGTATCCCACGATCACCTCTTGGCAAAACTGGCGAAGTGCGGCCTTGGGCCCACCACGATCCGCTGGCTGGGGAATTGGCTCTGTGGTAGGACTTGTCGTAGTGCCCTGTGACCAGTGGGGTCTCCCAAGGCTCTGTCCTAGGGCCTATATGATTTAACATCTTCATTAATGATGTAGACATTGGTGTCAGAAGCGGACTGGCCAAGTTTGCTGATGACGCCAAACTGTGAGGTAAAGCATCCACATCTGAGGACAGGAGGGTGATCCAGGCAGGTCTTGACAGGCTCAGGAAATGGGCAGATGAGAACCTGATGGTGTTTAACACTGAAAAATGCAAGGTTCTCCACCCTGGGAGGAAAAACCTGCAGCATGCTTACAGGCTCCGCAGGGCTACACT